GAAATTCGAAACAAACAAACAAATAAACCAGGCTGTGGAGCTGAGGTTCCTTGTTTCGCGTCCAGTTACCGTCGAAAAACAAATGTATTCCGTATTTTAGGGACGTTGGTGCGTTCTTAGAGTGACGGGCAAATCCCAGTAATAGGTCTGACAAAACTTGACGGATATGTGATGTTGACTAGCCTCCTTCCCTCTAGTCTGTCACTTCACTTCAAAATTAATGAAAGACGACTAGTGCAGATAGTCCTCGAATAGTTTTACACAAAATCCAACATAAGAAAACAAACATTATTTTATATACGTGTTTTACTTTGAAGCTCTTTTACCTTGTCTCTATTGTCCCCCGGTGGGACAGCGATAAGTTTATGGACTTACAACGCTAAAATTCGGGGCTCGATTCCTCACGGAAGACACAGTAGACGGTCTAACGTGGCTTTGCTATAAAACAAACCTTCTCTCTCTCTTTTCATTAATCCTGATGATTTAAAAAATAATAATATTAGACAACTAATACGACGCTAACCTATCCTTTTCGTTCAAGTTAAACATTATTTGTAATTGATGTGTCATTGTTTTCAGATTCTGAAATTGTTTAAAACAAATAATGATCCTCCTTTCGTTTAAATACCTTCTGTCAGTTAATTAACGTAAAACGACTAAATTTTTACAGATGTGAACATTTTCGAAGCATCAAAATTGAAAATGTAGTTTTAACTCTGTCATTACCATTTCTTCAACTGTATTTTCTCACTTCAACCGATAAAACGGCTCTCTATGTTCTTCGTGAGAATTTACTTTTTTTCTATTGTTATTGTTGTTTTGTAAAGAAAGATCTTTCTCCAAGACATTAACACAATAGGGTATCCACATGAACAACAGATATGTATAGCTGTCGTTGAATAACTTTAACAAATGGTGTTTCAGGCGCGTTTAACGACACATTTTCTCTTGTTTACGTTTTCTCACACTAGGGGGTTTAATATGTTATACATTCTGGATAAGATTATTGATTTCAATCTTCATGGAAATTATGCATAGCACATTTAAAAAGTAGAATACAACAAATATCAAAATTGTGTTTTTAGAACCGTTTCAACATAATATTTACTTGATGTAGTATACTTAATTTACTGAAATTAATTACATATTTTTCCTCGTACTTTCACAAGGGTCCCCCGGTGGCTCAGCAATACGTCTGAGGGGCTTATAATGCTAAAAATAGGATTTCGATACCAGCAGTGGGCATAGCGCAGATAATTCATTGTTATAGTACTTTTTTTATTTTCAGATTATTATTATAATCGCTTTCACATACAAAAATTCCTAATCGTTAAAGTATATGTGATTAAACAAAAACTGGTAATACATTCAAATATATTAAAATAGTATTTTCATAAATACAGCTTCAAAGTTAAGTGCTTTATTTAAATAACTCCCAAAAAGTATTGTGAACAAGTGGCAAATAAAAAATAAAGTATCTATATAAATATAATAATACTGTCTGTTGTATGTGCATGTAACTACTTCGCAGGGTGTGGATAGAGCTTCACCCAAATTGGTATGGGGGTTCATTAGGTCCATGCGGGGATACATGAGAAATTTCAGTTTTGTATTTTACGTTTTGCGGTTTTTATGGGCGTTTTTGCATTCTAACGGTTTTTTTTTTTACCACTACTTCGCTCCCTGTCGATGGATCTTCACCAAATTTAGTATGATGGTTTTTTTTGGGTCCATGCGGAGATACATGCAAAGTTGCGGTTTCACATTTTGTGTTTTGCAATTTTAATGGGCGTTTTTTTTACAATTACATATAAGAGAAACAACTTTTGATATCTTAAGATAACCTTTCATTAATCATGAATTTACATAACTTCCGTCCAGAGGACGGGTACTCCAGCTAATAATAGATAAAGTTTCCAAGAATCAGACATAAGAAAAGCAACGCAATATGATATATTTAGATATATTACCACAAATATTTTACAATCGTTTTGGCATATTTTGATTTTGTAATGCTGCGAGCAAAGAAGATACGGGAGCGTATGCCAACCTTTTCAATCGTAAAGATACGGTAACTAGCTGACTGGTCACGTGATTCCGACTGACGCTATATTATGAAATTTATAGCGCGCAGTAATATATTTTCAGATATTTTTGCTTGGTCTCGAAATATATCAAATAGGCTTTAATTTATAACAAAATAACTTTTTTAACATTAGGTTTTGAAATATGTCTGCCTCACTAAATTTGAGTCTACGGCCCTTGAGTGTGATTCATCTATACGGTCTCTAAGTTAAAAACGCCATAAAAATTCACTAAATTTGCAAGGCTGCCGTTAACAGCATAACGTATATAATATTCACTGACATTAATAGCCCTAAGATATGGTATACATTTCAAAAATATTGAGAAAAGTTTGTTGAAATTCACATAGGAGTTACGGCTTTATGGAAATTAATAAGAATTCCCTCTGTGCCTCTACGAAGTTCGTGTAGCCAATTATTCGCACATGGCATGAAAAAGAAAAGAATTCTCGAAATTTTTCTGATAATATTAAAAGTCCAAGCAAAGGAACAATATTAAAGTTATTCTTCCTGTAAACCCAATTTATTCGCCGTATTTAACCACTGATAAGTTTAAACCTTTCTCTTAAATACAACAGTTGTCCAGAGGTAAATATAACAATTGAAATATTGGTTACAATAATGGTATCGGAATAAAGCTAAAAAAAACACAAAATTAGGTCAGTTATGTACTGCTAATAGCCCTTGTGTAGCTTTGCGTGAAATATCTAAAACAAAGAAGCTAGTCTATTCAGGATGAAAGTAAATGCTTGTTTCTAATATTAGCATTGTTCGTACTTTTTAAAAAATCCATGGCTGTCAGTTTTACAGAACTGCTTACAATAGCTATATAAACGATCACAAAATGGAAAAATACAACAAACACGCGCATAAAATGATAAACAAGGAACGAAATTCAGTCTTATGTGTATACATCAAATGAACTGTATGCACCATTTATTTATTTACAGATTCAAAAAGTCTAGAAGGGGTAACATGAGTAAAGAGGAAAATAATACTTTGAATGATTGTCTTTATGTGTAAAACATTTCAATCCTGTATTGTAATTTCTTTCATATTCAGTTTGCCATGACGTGGAAAAATATTAGCTACTACTTGGCTTGGAGTATCTTAAATAGTCAGAAAATCAGCAAAAATGTTTTATAGGAAAATTATCTTTTATAGCTTAGCATAAACAGTCCATTAAGCCTCTTTCAGTAGAAAGAAAACAAATGTTTACTTTCCACGTTAAATAACGCTCATTTCACAGAAAGTTTTTCAATAGATTACGTGCGCAATAATGTGTAACATTATAGCTATGGGAAGGAAACAACATCTAGGAGGCATGAATAGAAATTTACTGGCCGTTAATTTTAGCGCTTACATGCACCTGTATTACAATAAACATGATGAATAATGGGTATTACAAATGTCAAACGTAACGATTTGAACGCTTTCACCAGCATTTTCTTAACAGCAGGAAGAAAGAGAGTTTTCTAAAGAAGGTGAAAATTGATCAAAAACTCCTCTATTTTGTTTGGCAAACATGCAATAATTATTCTGCTGGCATGTTTAGTGAAAGTACTCGCTAAGATAAATCTGTTAATACATACGTGAAGTCCTGAAAAGATAGCCAGGTATAGATTAAGTTTCAAGAGTTTCTATCTTAAACACATGAGCAACATATATATATGTGTTGTTCCTGGTTATTAAATCTATGTTCAAATATGTTTTTTTTCTATCTAAGTGCTAAAATTCATTCATTAAATTGCCCAATTTTTTACTAAAATAGACGCCCTTCAAAATATGTTTGTTTTGTTGAAAAATCTATTTTTTAAACCATAGAGTTATCTCAAAAGTTCTAATGTTCCATTCTAATAGATGAGATGCAAGTTCTAGAGATGTTTATTGGAATGTTGGAAGCCGTTTCGTCTAAATGTGTTAAATCAGTTTAATTGTCTGAAGATGTTTGTTGGAGTGTTGAAACTGTTTCGTCTAAATGTGTTAAATCAGTTTAATTTGTCTGAAGATGTTTGTTAGAGTGTTGAAACTGTTTCGTCTAAATGTGTTAAATTAGTTTACTTGTCTGG